CGCTCAGATTGCTATTGAGTCCTCGTGCTCAAGCTTGTCGTACCCGGCGCGAATCGCACCGTCATCATTCCGGACGAGCCCTCGAGTTGAATTGTCCGATCCCAGCGTGGATCTCCACAGGACGTGAGTCACCGTACTCGTTCCACTCGTGAGCCACCGCGCTCAACTCGCTCGACTCCATCGAAACATACAGTTCCGGAACTATGTCGCACAACCAGGCTAGCGCAAGCACATCGAAGATGGACCGCAAGACTCAAGAATCAACACATACTGAACTCCATCAAGCTTCGCCCCAGCCACCACCGCTCCCGTTACTCTGGACGAGAGAAAAAATCAAGCTCCACCGAGGTCAGCTTACACGGCTCGTCAATAAGGCCGCGCAGTTATCGCACTCTGGTCTCGATACTGTGGAGCACCTGAAGGCGATGTATCGGCAAGTCGACGCCATGCGAGACAAATTCCAAGAGCTCAGCGAACTATTCGATACGCTGGGCACTTCGCCGGAGTTTACATCGGACGAGGCTTCAGTATCCAAAGAATTTCAAAAGCATGCGGAATATGAAGAGGCAGCCAGTACCGCAGTGGATAACCTCTTAGCCGCAATCGACCCACTGGAAGCAGTCCATGGCGCGCAGTCAACTCCGACTCCCTTAGCAGACTTGGCCGCTCTTCAAACGTCAGAAGAGTTCCAGGAGACGGAACAGGCAGAAACAGCTCAGGAGAATGGTCAAGACTCCTTCCACTCGGATGAGCAGCAAACTCAGCAGACGCTCGACAGTCAGCAAACGGAGGTGTATGCCGAGGAGCTGCAGCAGCCACAGCAACCAGAAGAGCCACCGAGAACCCCAGTTTATTTCCATTCCGACCCGAGCAAGAAAGTCCCGAAATTTAATGGGAATCCGGTCCGCTACGTCGAATGGGAGAGACTTTTCGATTTCTACGTCGACAGAACATCACTGGAAGTCACCGAAAAATGTCGCATCTTGAAGAATTCACTCATCGGACAGGCCCACAATGCCGTCGCGCATTTGACGATTGGTCAGGAGGCATACCCGCTGATGAAGGAGACTATCAAGGCCAACTTTGGCGACTCGAGATGGGCTAAGACTGCCCTCATCCAACGCGTGCACGGCCTGTGCAAGTCGAAGGAACTCTTCAAAACTAACAAGTTCATTCACTTCGTGTCATCCCTGGCTCTTAGCGTTAGGTCCCTGGTCAGCTTGGGAAGCAGTTTCGAATCTCTTTCAGATTCGTTCGTCTCCATGATCTTGGGTTGCGTTCCCAGCTCTTTCAGAAACGAATTCAATAGGAATCTAAGTAGACAGGTCGATCGCTCTTCAAGCGAGCTGGAAGTCTTGTTGAAGGCTCTAGAGGAGGAGAAAAGGATCCTGCAGGCTGGCGATCGCCAAGCGGCTTTCAATGGGAGTCACGCCCAGCAATCCAATCAAGCCCATCAGGCTAATCCCGGCCATTCTAGGAGGGACGAAGGCGCGAAGCACAGTAGAGGAAAAAGGCAGGGCGGTTTTCAGGAGCAGTCGGCTCAATTCGCTTTTGCCAGCGCGGTGTCGCAACCCGATCACTCTTGCGTATTCTGTGGCGATTCCCACAGCGGTCTTAAATGCACTAAGACGATGTCGGTAGAGGAGCGTAGAAGACGATGCGAAGAGCAGAGCGCATGCTTACGCTGCCTTAGAAGAAACCATATAGCTAAGAAATGCAGGGCCAAGCTCAGTAATTGCCGAAAGTGTGGAGGCAGACATTCTGATGTGGTTTGCGCTAGAAATTCGCCGAGCGCCAATCCAGGCTCTCCTCAGGTGGCGGCGGCTAGTTGCCCGTTTCAGTCCCTGCCACAGCCTGCGGGAGCTCTCATCCAGACGGGATACGTCTGGGTAATTAACGGCTCCAAAAAGCGTATTGCAAGGGTTCTGCTGGACCCGGGAGCAATGAGATCTCTCGTATCGGAGAAGTTGGTGAAGGATCTACAAATCCCGACTTTGAGTTCGGAACCGATCCAAATCCACGGCATCGGAGGCAAGGTGACGGACGCGAAGCTTCTCGATTTATGTCGGCTAAAACTGAAGAGTCGTTTTTCCAAAAAGCAAATATCGATCACGTGCCTCACAATTCCCAAGGTTATCAAGCCTATAATCCCGAACGTCACTGCTATAGGGGGCTTCTCCCCAGTTGCTGATTCTAAAGAAGAAGGTTTCCCCGAGGAAATAGAGCTGTTGATTGCTAACGACTGGTTGCACCAAGTATACTCAGGGCAAAACCAGATCGTGGGCTCGGCTTTCGCGTCACCCACGATTTTCGGATGGTTCTTTTGGGGAAGGAGTGGTTCAAACCAGTTTACCAACTCGGTTCACACTGCCGCCGGGGTCATCCAATGCATAGCAGCAGCAAACATCACTCAGAGCTTAACTCAGCCGGTCAGCCCAAGAGGCATTCCAGAAAATCTAGAGTTCTTATGGGATACAGAGATACTGGGGATCGAGCGCTCACTCTCCGACGAGGAGCAGAGATCGATTGCTGAAATGGAAAAATTCTTCAATACGATTTCGAGAAATGAAAACGGAAGATACTGCGTCGCGTTACCGTTTAAGCCGAATCTGCCCACACTCGGGGACAATCAAAAGCTGGCTTACTCTCGACTAGTGGCGTTTCTCAAAAACGCTCGAAAGAAGCCAGAGCTGCTAAAAGCAGCAGATAATGAAATAAAAAAGTATATCGCGGAGGGGTACGCCGAGTTGGCTGAGCCCCGCGCTCCGGGGGAGCAGGCTCATTACCTACCGCTCCTCGCCGTGGCCAAGAAGGCTCTCGCAGGCTCTCAAGAGCTCAGAGTCAGGCTGGTTAAGGACGGCGGTTCCCGTAGCAGCGATGAAGCTTCGCTCAACGATGTGTTGGAAAAAGGACCCAACCTCCTGCCGGATATATTATCGGCGTTGGCGAATTTCCGCAAGAGACCCATCGTCATAGTAGCCGACATAGAGCAGGCCTTCATGCAATTCCTGATAAAGAAGGAGCATCGGAGATTCTTGCGCTTCTACTGGGCTACGGGTATATCGGAAGACCCTCGCGCACCAATCCGAGAGTACTGGGCCACAGTGCTCGACTTCGGGTTGATTTGCAGCCCTTGGCTGCACTGCGCAGGTGTCAGATTTCATCTCGATCAGGAAATCGAGAAGCTACCAGACAAGGCCAACATGTTGCGTGAGATACGCGACTCATTCTACATGGACGACGTCTGCGTGGGAATGAACTCGATCGCCGAGGCCAAACAGGCCACGAGGGATATGCTGCAAATTTTCCGTAATGGTCACTTCCCTCTTAACAAATGGGCGACAAATAGCCAACCATTGGCTGAGTTCATCTCAAGCGTTGTCGGCCCGTCGCGCTCCGTTTCGGCCACGGACACGAAAAGCAAGTTCCTTGGAGTGTCCTGGAACCAGGTTTCGGACTACCTGTTCATTGATGTTCGGAAAATCGCCTCGTTCCTGCTGGAAGGTCCGACCTCTAAACGTCAGCTTCTGAAGGGACTCAGTCAGATTTTCGATCCTTTGGGGATACTTGCATCAATCTCTATAAATTTCAAGATTTTGACTCAAACCCTGTGGGAAAAAAAGATTGATTGGGATACCCCGCTTGACGGAGAACTCAAGGAAGCTTACATAAACGCGGCCAACAATCTGGAATTCGGCGGCGAGATCCAACTGAATAGAGGAATATTCGTGATCCCAAGAGCAGAGGCGAGGCGGGAGCTGCATGTGTTCGCCGATGCCTCGTTGGCAGCATACGGCTGCATTGCGTATATTAGAGAGCTTCCCAGAGCGACGTCACGAAAGAAGCCGTCAGTTAGTTTCGTGATGGCAAAGGCAAGAGTGGCGCCTTTAAAGGGAAAATGGACAATCCCGCGCCTGGAGCTCGTTGCCGCAGTTCTGGCGGCGCGCTTTGCGAAAAACATTCAGAAACTATTCGCATCGGAGGTGGACGAAGTTTTCCTTTATTCGGACAACTCCTCAGTGTTAGGATGGATAAGAGATAGCGCCGATCGCTGGAAGCCGTTCGTCGGAAACCGCATTAGAGAGATTCAGAATCTGTCGAGCTCGAATTCGTGGAGCTACATCCGATCGGAAGAAAATCCCGCCGACCTGCTCAGCCGCGGCTGTCCGCTTGATTCCCCGGAACTCAGACGGTTCTGGCTAGCGGGGCCGCAATGGCTGTCGGTCTCAGGAAGACCGGAACCGCACTCGTTGAACGATTCCGTCCCTTCTGGAGAAATTCTGATCGAGAGAAGGCAGGAAATTCTGGCGGCAGCGGAGGTTGTAAACGAGCCCCCGTTGTTTAGAAAACAATTCTCTTCGTGGCGGAAAACGGTGCGCATCGTGGCCTACATGCTGCGCTTCGCCTCGAAATCTTCCCAGGGCAGTAAACCCACCGATCGGACGATCGATACAGCGGAATTCCAGGTGGCTGAGGATAAGTTGTTAAAAAACATCCAGAGCGCACATTTTTCTACGGAAATTGCGTCGGAATGCCGAAGCATAACGAAAAGTAGCGAGCTGTTCCAATTAAATCCATTCGTAGCGGAGGATGGGTTTCTCAGATGTCGATCGAGACTGGAGAGATCGACCGAGCTATGTTTCGATGAGAAATACCCAATCATTTTTCCTGGTGAAGACCACCTCACCCGCCTGCTCGTTGAATGGTTCCACTCGGAAGCTTGTATGCATACCGGGGGAGTGGCTGGAACCCTACAGGAAATTAGGAAAAGATTCTTCGTACTCAGAGCGCGCAGAGCGGTAAAAGCGGCGATCTCGGGCTGTAAAACGTGTCTCAGATTTCGGGCGCAGAGGGCGAGCGAGCCTATGGCTCCGCTTCCCCCATTCCGAATTGAGTCTTGCGCCCCGTTTGCGGTCACGGGGGTCGACCATGCCGGACCCATATACATAAAAAATGATCTCGGGGTAAAGCAAAAGAGCTATATCCTGCTGCTGGTCTGCGCCGTCACGCGCGCGGTCAGACTAGAGCTCGTCCCAGATCTCAGTACGTATGAGTTTCTGATCGCCCTGAGGCGCTTCATAGCCAGAAATCCGGCAGTCGTCCGTATTGTATCGGATAACGCGAAAACTTTCAAGAAGGCGAACAATGAGCTGAACGTTCTGTTCGATCACGCTAAGGCTCCGGAGACGCGTTCTCTGCTGACAAGCAAACGCATAGTGTGGCAGTTCTCAACAGAAAAGGCACCTTGGCAAGGTGGCTTCTGGGAGAGAATGGTGCAGACTGTGAAGCGGCCGCTAAGGAATATCTTGGGAGTGCACTGTTTGAAATTTCGCGAGCTAGAAACGGTCCTAACTGAAATAGAGAAGATAGTTAACGATCGACCCATCTCGGCAGTCGTGACGGACCCAAATGAACCGCGAGCTCTGTCACCGTCAGACCTCCTATACGGGTACCCCACAAGGCAAGCATTGCCAGAAACCAAGCGCGTAATTTCGACCGCGGAGTCGGCCACGGCTTTGGTTTTCTCAGAGCGCTGGAAATACCAGCAATCAGTCCTTCGAGGATTCTGGAAACAATTTCACAGCGGATACCTTCAGTATTTGAGATCGGCGCATTACATCAAGCCGCAGGATAGCCGCCCACTCGCTGTCGGAGACGTATGCATCCTGCAATCTCCTGACGCGTCGCGAGCTTTCTGGCCCTTGTGCGTGGTCAAGTCGCTTTGCGGCGGGGAGGGCTCTTCGAGTCGCCACAGGTCTTGCGTTATCAAGACAAACAGCGGTCAGACTCTCAGAAGACCGATCCAGCTGCTGTACCGCTTGGAGGTGTCCCAATTCTAAGACGGTCTCGGGATTCGAGGGCGGACCTCACCCGCCTCCCGTGAGAATTGAAAACACGCTAGCGAGAAAGTTCAGAGAACCTTATTCTTATAAAAATGAAATATACATATCTACAAAATCAGAACCGCTCGTCGCTGTCCTGGGACCGGGGGGGCGA